CCCCAAAACCCCAAAACCCCAAAACCCCAAAACCCCAAAACCCCAAAACCCCTAATAAATTAAAGTAATTTGAAATCTACAAGTATTAAAAATGTTAAGAGGAGCCAAAGATTCAGCCCCATCAACCTTTAGCAATAGTGGTCCAAAGCTTTCAGGATCCGAGAAACAGCGTGATACCAGAATGAATAATATCATCGCAGCAAAAGCAGTATCAGATGTTGTCAGAACCTCACTTGGTCCAAGAGGAATGGATAAAATGGTAAGTCGCGTATATATCTTTGCTAATTTAAATGCGATGGAGGCTAATTTTGACCTAAAACTGTTGATAATCACTAGATAGCCATTTCTACTCTTACAAAAACAAGCCTAATAGTTTCTTTTTAGATCCAAGACTCAAACAAGAAAGTTTTGATTACCAATGACGGAGCCACAATTTTGAAACAAATGGAGGTAGTCCATCCAACCGCAAGAATGGTATTTTTAGCTCATAAAACCTTTAGCTTGTTGAGATCTCTAAGTCTCAAGATATTGAAGCAGGAGATGGAACCACAAGTGTTGTAGTAATCGCAGGAGCCCTCTTGAAGGCTTGCCAGACTCTTTTGGATAAAGGAATTCATGCTTCTTCAATCTCTGCAGGACTCCAAGTTGCATTGGACAAAGCTGTAGAAGTGATTGATAGCATGAGCATTCCAGTTGATTTGAATAATAGAGAAAGTTTGATCCAAAATGCTACTACTTCCTTGTCATCCAAGGTCGTCTCTCAAAATGCCGATATTCTTGCTCCACTTGCTGTTGATTGTGTAATGAAGATTATCGATAAGGAGAATGACACTAATGCCGACCTCAGAGATGTTTTTGTAGGAAAGGTAGTTGGAGGAACTGTTGATGATACTCAAATGATTGATGGATGCGTTCTTGTTGATAGGAAGGCATGCACCAGCGCTGGAGGTCCAACCAAGATGGAGAATGCCAAGATTGGTCTCATCCAATTTCAGCTCTCTGCTCCAAAGACTGACATGGAAAGCAGTGTTGTTGTCCATGAATATACTGCTATGGATAGAATCCTCAAAGAAGAAAAGAAGTACATTATAAAAATGATCAAAACTATTGTTAAGAGTGGATGTAATGTTCTCTTGATCCAGAAATCCATCATGAGGGATGCAGTCAATGATTTGGCTCTTCATTTCTTGGCAAAGAAAAACATCTTAGTCGTAAAAGATGTTGAGAGAGACACTGTTGATTTTGTTTCAAGGACAACTGGATTAACCCCAGTTGCATCAATTGAGCAATTTACTGAGGAAAAATTGGGAACTGCCGAACTCGTTGTTGATGACAGATCATGCAGATCAGTCAGAATCACTGGATGCCCTCCTCAAGCTGAAGGAAGAAAGACTGTCTCAGTACTTGTTAGAGGATCAAATCAACTCATTGTTGATGAAGCTGAGAGATCTTTCCATGATGCTCTCTGTGTCGTAAGAAGTTTGGTAAAGAAGAGAGCCCTAGTTCCAGGAGGTGCTGCAGTAGAAATGGAGGTTTCTCAAAAACTAAACTTGTACTCAAGGGAGATTTTTGGAATTGATTCTTATTGTGTTAAAGCTTACTCTGAAGCTCTCGAAATTATTCCATACACCCTCGCTGAAAATGCTGGATTAGACCCAATCAAATTCGTCACTGAACTGAGAAATGCTCATACTAAAGGAAAAACTACTGCCGGAGTAAACGTGAAGAAGAACAAGATCTCTGACATGATTGAACTTGAAGTTGTCCAGCCAGCTCTCGTATCAATTTCAGCATTCACTCTTGCAACTGAATGTGTCAGAATGATTCTCAAGATTGATGATATCGTACTCTCGTTCTAATACATAACCTAATACACACTTTAAATTATAACTATTAGTCTTTGGGGTTTTGGGGTTTTGGGGTTTTGGGGTTTTGGGGTTTTGGGG